CCGTGTTGCTCGGCCGGAATAATCTTATGTTCAAGAAGGTACTTCATCATAGTGTGACATATAATGGATTCCATCAATTTACTAATCAGAGCTGTTAGGCTGATAGGGCGAAAATTTCCAGCATCAAGTTGGTCCCCTTTTTTGAAAATCGGTTTGACAGTTGCTGATCTCCAATCGTTAGACAATTCACCGGTGATAAATGATCGCTGCAAGAGGAGATTCAAGGGCTTACATAAAGAAAGCGCACATTCATTCAAAATGGCAGCACTCAAGTCGTCAGGTCCGGGAGAATTAGTTTTCTTCAACTTTCGGAGCCTAGTGTATACTTCTTGTTCAAGGAACTCAACATTAGTTAGTGAGGCAGTACATCGAGGTGTAAAAACTACAGGAGGATTTGAAGAAGGTTCGGCAGTGTATGCCTTAGCAAAGGTATCTGCAAAAATATTTGCAATTTTGTCATTATCTGAAATTAATGCACCAGTGGAGTCCCTCAACTGTGGTTTCCGAACTGATCCTCCAAGAGTATCACGAATGTATTTGTAAAATGACTTAGGGTTTTTATTTCGAACAAGTTGAGCTGCATATGAGGATTTAGCGCTTTTAATTTTCGAAGCTAACTGATTTGAAAAAGTTCGATAAGCAGCATAATCTACCACGTTACCAGTACGTTTGAAGGAGCGCCACAAATTTCTTTTGATCCGAATCATTTTAACCAATTGATCATTAATCCAAGGTTTTTTGGTGGACTTCATAAATACTCTACGAATGGAATTAAGGAGGGTTAGTTCTTGAAGCTGGGATTTAAACGCTTCCCAGTTTTCGGATATAGTATTGTACTCAAGGGTTGATGCCCAGTCAACTTCAAGCAGATCTTTCTCTAACATCTGATAATTAATAATTGACTTTGTGGTAATGGTTATTTTATTTGTAGGCTGCATATTGATCTGAAGATTCACCAGAATTGTCACATGGTCAGATTTACCGATTGGGCTAGAATATTCTAGATTAGCAATGAGGTCAGGGTTAGAAGAAAGAACTAGATCTAGCACAGAAGGGCATTGGTTTTTTCTATATCTGGTTGGCTCCGATACCATTTGATACAAATGGGAGCCGCTAATCAAATCTACCAGCAACTGCGAAGATCGGTTTAACGATCCAGAACACACTAACGGCCAATTCAACTCAGGCATATTAAAATCTCCACAAATAAGAAGATTGTTGTAGTTATTAGCTAAGACGGTCAACGCATTAAATAACTCCAAATCACTATCAAAATCACTAGATGGGGTTCGATATACACAACCAAGAACAATTGATAATGATTTTTCAGTTACTTTCAGGAACAAGGATTCGACTTTCGAAGTATCACTATCAACAACAGAGACTATGAAATTAGACATTACAAAATTGGATACATATATGCAAACTCCTCCTCCTCTTATAGATTGACGGTCTCTCCTAAAAAGACTGTATCCTGACAATGAGACTAGTGAATCCGGTATATCTGAAGTAAGCCACGTTTCAGTAACCATCACAAAAGAAGGAGTATTTACTGCCACAATAGCTGTAAACTCCAAAAACTTAGAGCACAAGGAAGCAGTATTGGTGTACATTAGTGGACATACGAATAAAGAAGAAGTTAGATGAGTAATTGGGGTGAATATAATAATTAATAAGTTTCTGGATCATTTCGATCCAGGGAAGACAAGGATAAATATAAAGTATAGGCTTTGTTAAGTTTACGTTGTGTTTTTAAACACCTATTACGGATGCTGTCGCGGGAAAGTAAGGGATAAATTTTATATAGTTGATTCTGGAGACCGGTTATATCATCTGTATATTTCCATGCAATGGGTAAAATGTCTGATTCGCCTAGTACGTCCTCCATAAACTTTACCAGTTCCGGAAAAGGAAGAGGGAAGGGAGGGTCAGCTTCGCTACATAAAACTTGCACCGGTTCCAGTAATTCCAGAGTGCCAGTAAGACTTTCAGTCGAATCATTGGGCCTAACTTTCTTTAAGGCTCGATTAAAAGAGTCATGTACCACCTCTTGAAGTGAAGGTTCATTTACAGGTGAATCGTCGGAGGGGTTGGATCTTTTATGAGTGGCAATTATACCAAATTTTGCTAAGATTTTTCAAAGCATTTTAGTTAAGTATGTACACAGTCATGTAAAACAATTAATACTTGTAGGTCAAAAACAGTATGTGCAATATCAGAACTGTAAATCTTATATTTATGAATGTAACACAGGTGTCTGCCAGGGCTTAAATATGGGACCGTTGTTGTTTACAATTTTTGTTAACGATGTAATTTCTGTGATAAATAATCAATGTGATGTCTATATGTATGCTGACGATGTCAAAATTTTAAAGGTCATATGTGATGAGTACGATTGCTTTGTCTTACAGAGTATTATGAATAAGTTTTTTAAGTGGTGTCTTGAGAATAAATTAGATGTGAATGTTAATAAATGTAGAATTATGTCATATAGTCGTAAAGTTAATACTATTTTGTTCAATTACAAGATAAATGATCAGTCACTAATTAGGTGTACTGAGTTTAAAGACCTGGGAGTTGTGATGGATCAGTCTTTATCATTTACACCACATATTACACATATTAGTGAAAAGGCGATGAGAATACTAGGTTTTATAATACGTAACACAAAGGATTTCATCAATGTGTTTACTCTATCCAAGGATTTTCGCAGCATGAGCTGTTAAATGAGTTCCATCTTGTTCATCTCCAAAGTAGGCGTGAATTTTCCTCTGTTATTTTTCTACCTTTCAATAACACCCTGTATAATTAATGACAATGTCTTGCTCGAACAAATTTGTTTTTATGTCCCTCGTTCAGGATCTAGGAATCCGAGAACTTTCCTGTGTGATATGGCTCGCACTAATCAACATTATTATTCACCAGTTAACAATTGTTCTTAAGCTTTTTATTACACTAGTTAGACTTATGTTAGAGTACGGCATAATTATATGGTTTCCTTTTATGAAGTCCACGTAACAAGACTCGAAAGAGTACAAAGAAAAATGTGTAATTTTTTAATTTTTAAGATGGGGCTTAATAAATCTCACTATAACTACGATCAGAGACTTAATCTAACTGAATCAGAAGCACTGTTGAATCGTGTTTTGAAATTTAAGCTACGATTCGAGTTTAAACTCTTGAACAATCAAATAGATTGTGTACAGCTTTTGTTGCTTTTAAATTTCAAAACCCCTTTATTTAGTACCAGAAATCGGGATCTACTTGTTTGTCCCTTTAGAAAAACTAATCTTGGTTTAAATAGCTCTGTTGTCAATAAAATTGCGACTGCTATTCACAGTTTACCAGTTAATTTAGATATTTTTAATTGTAAGGAAAGTACATTTAATTTATATTTAAGACAAATGTAAGCCATCACTTTTCTTATTTTATTTGTTGTCTCTATTGGAACATTGTTCTGTTAGACAATAAACTATTATTATTATAAAAGCTGACAATGAAACCCAAATTTCGATGTAATAATACGTAATTAATCTCTTTTTCAATATTTAACTTTTTCAAATTTTCGATTTTACAATTTTTTCATTTTTTAATTAATGGATTTTATAATTTTCGCACTTATTCGACTTTTCAATTTTTCATTCCCTCAAATTTTCGATTCGCCGTTTTTCATTTCGGTTTTTCATTTTTTTTATTTTTACAAATTTTTGTTTTTTCAATTTTAATTTGGTCAATTTTTCGTTTCTTGAGCTTTTCGATTTGTGATTTTTCTTGGAGTCTTCATTTTTTAGTTTTTCAGTTTTCCGATTTTCCAACATTTAGATTTTGCAATTTTTTGATTTGCAATTTCATGAGTTTTCAATTTTTCGTTGCGTTTTTTGTTTTTTACTTTTTCCAAGTTCGGTTTTACAAAGTTCTGATTTTATAATTTTTCTTTGTTCTTGACACTGAACAAAGAAAAATTTTTCAATTTTTTGAATTTTCGACTAAAATTGTAAAAATTGCCACATTGTAAAATTAAAAAATTCGTCGAAAGTTGTTTTCATAAAATGAACAATATTAAGAGTAAATACTGAAATGAAGAGGGGGTGGGTGGGCGGAGCTCTTGCCACTATAACAAAAAAAATAACGATTAACGCTTATTTAAGTCTCACTTTACAAAAAACATATAATTGACCCCGCCCATCCACCCCGCCTACATTTCAGTGATTCATTTTATCTGGTCCGAACCAAAGGTGGATCTCAACTGAAGAGAGATAAAATCGTTATAACGAGAATAGCGTATATGGGTGGGGATAGTATCTGCTAAGTTAAAATTAATTTTGGTAAATGACATACCCTCTAAGAAAATAATGGGTGAGTGGGAGGAGTTAGTACTTGCTAAGATAAGACTGATTGTGGCAAACGACATACCCTCTAAGAAGACGGGTGGGCGGGCCTAGTACTACTTGTTAAGATAAGGTTGCTTTTGATTGATTTTTTCAAAAAATCTGAACGTTTCGGGTAAAACCTCAATAAAGCATCATAAACTAATTTAAAACCCATTTACTATGTATACTTTTCAATTGACGTCATCACATTATTGATGGGGCTGACTAGACAAATTTTGGTTAGGATTTTACCATCTATGTGACATTACTAACATAAATACAAAATTTTACTACAATCCGCCCAGTACTTTGGAGATTATCTGTCTAATAAAAACCGGGACGGACAAAGAGACAGACAGACGGAAAGACCAATTTCTTCGTACACTAGGGGTCATGAAACGTCAAGAAAAAGTAAAAACAGAGAGTTGGTCGAGAGGCTAGTAAAATTCTTCTAACTAAATTTTTTTAAAATATCATATTTAGAATCTTAAATAAATTTTGTACCAATTATTGTTAATGTGAATTAATATGTATTAATTAAACAGAATAGCGCCAATATTTATTATAATTGTTAAACGTCAATTTGATATGAACGTCAAAGTCACATAGTGAACTCCCAACACCGTGAAAATTTGCAAATATACATATTGTAAAAGTTTATCGCTGATGAAAATGTACATATTCATTAGCAAAATAAATATAAAAACCCAGTGTCACAACTAAACGACATTCATTTTTTTGAAATTGCCATAGAACCCCAACATTTCATCATTTTCCAATTTCGCTGGTCGAAGATTTTCATCGACCTTAAATTTTTCCAGATCGTCGAAGAAACTAAGATGTTGTTGATATTCAGCAACCATCATTTCTAAATTGAGAAAAATTAAATTTACGTACGCACAGTGACGTTTATACCTTGTAATTTCTCAAGCGAAATTCCTTTTCCACCAAAATCCACCGGTAAAAGATCTTCAGGAAATTTTTCTTTGATCGTAGTATCATCTGGGAGGATATGCATCTAAAACACAAAATGTTTTGTGTTTTTGTGAATTTTTCAAACTCACTCTTTCAAAAAGTTTTGGCCTTATGACCATCTTTATAATTTTTATCAGTGTTTGTCCAAATACAGGAAGGTTAATTACGTACAGAGCGTTCAATCGAAAGGAATAAATTTGCTACAATTTAACATTCATTATTGGACACGTAACGTTTAACTTGATACCTGGTAAATTGTAATCAAACATTTATATACAAAAGTCGGTGTTAACTTTAAAAAGAAGGATGAAGGTACATGTTCACAGTCAACAACGTATATTTCTCCATACATGACATCTTCTCTCATTCTTATTTCCTGACAAGCCATAACATAACGCAGCAAAACGTAATTGTCTAACTTTTCCGCTAAATCTGGATTGCGAATCTTAAAGAAAAATACTCTGTTGAAATCGATTAATTCCGGATGAGCAACAAAGTAACTGAAAATAACGACGTCAATACAGTATTTTTTGCAAATATCAATCACTTGTACGCTATCTGATTAACTTCTTCCACGTAGGATGAAAATCTAGGATTCATTTCCTTGTAAACTTCATCCAGCTTGGTCCTGATTGTATAATAATTGTCAATTTTTTCTTTAGTTCTCTCGATAGTAAATTTATTAAGAACTAGAAAGTTAGTAATACTTCTTCGTTCTAAAATGTTTACCAAGGAGAAGTGGGACGTCAAATTTGAACTTACCTAAAGGTTGCAAAAAGTGCGGCTGTTCACTTATCCACTTTTGAATGGTTCTAATATCATCCTCTGTACTTTCTTTGCCCTTAACAAAAGTTTTTGCTACGTTTTCTATTATCGTTTCTTCTATTTTAAACATGTCTGACACGAATTTGTGGACTGTAGTGAAGCTTCCACATCGAGTTTTAGTGCAGTTTGCGTTCAATTGAATATCAAATGCGAACTGTTTTGCATACCTTTTTTATGAGCTGATAATAAAAGCGGACAATTATAGCCAAATTTTGTTTATTTAAAAACATAAATCATCAAGAAAGTCCACCTAACAAACGATTCACAATCTACAAATCTAAAGACGGAAGACTCAATTTGTAGTCAGTAATTTCAAGAGTATTTTTACTTCCCGAGCGTCAGCTTTTACGTGTTCTTTGTCCGTCTGTCTGCCATCCCGATTTTTATTAGACATACAATCTCCGAAATGAGGGAAGAAATGGGCGCAAGATTGGAAAAAATGGATGCAAGAGGCGAACAAATGAACGCGAAAATGTAAAAAATGGACGAGAAAATAGACGCAAGAATGGAAAGAATTGGCGCAAACATGGAAGAAATGAACCAAAGAATGAATATAACAATAGAAGAGATGAACGAAAAAATGGATGCAAGAATGGAAAAGATGGCCGAAAAAATAGATAAGCAAAAAGATGACATGATCACCAGCCTAAGTGAAAAATTCCAAAAGGAAGTGGAAGCAAACAAGAACAAAATAGAAGAAATCAGAGAAGAAATGAAGGACGTAAAAACAAATCTGGAAAATATTGTCGGACGAAATATGATGGCAATGGAGCATCAGTTAAAGAGTGAGTTAGAAAAATCTGTGGAATGTATAGAAGATAGGATGGAGCACAAAATGAAGAAATTCGAAAAGATGATGAGAACTGCAGCAACAACCAGTCCATATAATGTGGTGTCGACCCCCAGAATCGTTCAACCACCCACCTATGATGGTCAGACACTTTGGTCATCGTACAAACAGCAGTTTGAGGCAGCAGCGACAGCGAATCTGTGGGAAGAACAGAAAGCTACAGCCTTGGTAATAGCGTTGCGGGGTACAGCGCTGGAGATACTGCAAACTCTGTCCCAAGAAGATAGAAACAGATACAGTGCCCGAACTGCTGCCCTAGAATTTCGATTTGGGGATGAACATCTGGGACAGGTTTTTGCAGCTCAAGTGAAGACAAGAACCCAGAAAGTTGGAGAGTCCCTTAGGAATTCGAAGCAGATGTCAAGAGACTGGTACGTCTAGCATACACCAACGCACCACCAACTTTTCAGGAGACGCTTACAATAGAAACCTTCGTAAATGGCATTCGCGACGGTGAAGTTAAGAAGGTCCTACAACTATCAAGGTACCAGACATCATCGGAGGCCTTGATTCGTGCGCTGGAAGTGGAGGCGGCGTACAACTCTTCAAGAACCTAGCACAAGGTCAGAGTGGCAGAATTAGAGACGGAAGGAAACGACAAGTTAGAAAAGCTGTTGGAAAAGTTCTCACAGCAAATAATAAATGGCCTGGTACAAGGACGAGAGAACGGTGCACCACCTAAGAAAAGCATCTCAAACGCGATTGTCGTGTCCGATCACCAGCTCCAAGGAGAAGCTCACAACAAAGATCTCACCAAAGTGTGCAGGAAAACTAAAAACAGCCAGTATTTTGGGGGATGTGCTGGCTGGTGTGAATAATGCCCCCAAGGAAGTGAAGATAGGAAGTTTCACCCGAGGCAGTACTTAGTCCAACTATACCGGGGAAAATTAATGGAACTCCCGCAGCAATCACGATCGATACTGGCGCTGAGGTATCAATTATACGTCGAGGACTCGTGAGAGCGACAGGCCTAGCGACTTCATCCGAAACAATCAGATTGAAGACAGTGACTGGAGAGTTGGCGCCAAACATGGGCCAGGCAGACGTAGAAATCTACATTAGTCATCTGAGGATAAGACATCGCGCTCTCGTGGCTGGCATCGCAGATGATTTCATTCTGGGAATGGATTTGATTAGCCGCCATGGATTGACGGTCGATCCAATGGAGAAAGTCCTACGTTTATCCTGAATCAAGGCAGTATTGAATCCAAGCCTGTAAGATTGATCACCTGCCAGAATGTGAAAGTCTGAGGGAATGCAGAGACGATTGTTCCAGTTAGAGCAGAAACCAAACCCTCGGTATTATTCAACCACCGTACACCCCCAAGAAGAATCTCATGATTGCGAGTGCTTTAATTAATACCGATTGTGACATACCTGTGCGCGTCGCAAATGTTTTCCCCAAAGCAATGAAGAGTGGCAAGGTTCTTGCCGTCTGTGAACCAGTCACGAAGATAATCCATCACAACGAAGATCTTTCTGGTAACAGTCATGAAGGAATAAAAAGAAAGTTAGAAATTCTTGCCCTAGAGCTTGGTCATCTAACCGAACATCAGCGGAAAGCAGCAAGAGAGTTTCTACAGAAACACAGTGGAATGTTTGCATATGGACAGTCCTCTGGGCGGACATAGTACAACAAACACTGGAGACGCGCAACCGATCCGTCAAGCTCCGCGAAGACTACCTTTGGCGAAACAAGAGGAACTGGTACGAAAAATCCTAGACGAAGGCGTCATAGAGGAGTCAAACAGTCCATGGTCTTCGCCCGTAGTGCTAGTCACCAAAGATGACGGATCGACGAGATTCTGCGTAGACTACAGGAAATTAAACGATGTAACCAAGAAGGACAGTTACCCGCTTCCGCGAATTGATGAAACGCTCACAACCCTATCAGGATCCGCTTGGTTTTCCACATTAAACCTAAAAAGCGGCTACTGGCAAGTTGGTATTCATCCAGAAGATAAGGAAAATACCGCTTTTTTGGCCGGAAGCGGCTTGTATCAATTTACAATCATGCCTTTTGGACTGTGTAATGCTCCGGCTACGTTTGAGAGACTAATGGAGATGGTATTGCGAGGGCTATCATGGAAAACATGTTTGGTTTATTTAGACGACATCATGGTAATGGAAAAGACATTTGAGGAACACTTGACCAACTTAGAAGAAGTATTCAGGCGAATGAAGGAGGCAAATTTGAAGTTGAATCCGAAGAAGTGCCTCCTCTTCCAAAAAGAAGTAGAATTTCTGGGGCATACTGTTTCAGCAAACGGGATCAAGACTACGGGAACAAAAATCAATGCGATTCGCTATTGGCCAAGACCAAGAGATAAACACGAAGTCCGGAGTTTCCTGGGACTGTGCACGTACCTACTACAGAAGGTTTGTCAACGGGTTTGCTGATATTGCTGCTCCTCTGCACAGGCTGACGGATTTGAAGTCTCAGTTTAATTGGACTGCTGAATGTGAAGCAGCCTTTAAAAGACTGAAGAACGCACTATGCTCTAGTCCTATTCTGTCCTACCCTCGATCATCGAGAATGTTCATCTTGGACACGGACGCGAGCAATATCGGAATAGGTGCTGTATTATCACAGGTGCAGGACGAGGAAGAAAAAATCATCGAGTACTTCAGCAGCGTACTTTCGAAACCCAAGAAGAACTACTGTACTGGCGATTGTCAGGGCTGTTGAACATTTCCATAAGTATCTCTATGGACGCGAATTCCTTATTAGAACCGATCACGCAGCCCTCACATGGCTTCTTCAGATGAAGAATCCCGAAGGACAAGTGGCTAGATGGCTTGACCGACTCCAACAGTATCACTTCAAAATTCGACACAGGGCTGGTAAGCTCCACAATAATGCGGACTCTTTGTCGAGAAGACCGTGTAAAAACTGCAAACACTGCGACAAGATCGAGCAGTGTGAAACGTCGTTCAATTGTGGGAGGACATCAGTGATCGAAGACGAAAAATGGACTACCGCCCGGCTTAGAAAAGACCATGAGGAAGGCGTGGATATCGGGCCGTTGCTCAAATGGAAAGAAAATGGGATAGAACAACCAGCTTGGTTGGAGATATCAGACGAGTCACCCTCTTTCAAGGCGTTATGGGCTCAGTGGGACTCCCTGCGTGTTGATAATGGATTGCTTAAACGAGCTTGGGAGAGTCCGGATGGGAAACATACCACCATACAGTTGGTTGTTTCGGCCATTAGAACCAAGGAAGTACTTCGAGAAATGCACAACGGTGGTTCTGGTGCTCATTTTGGAATCAACAAGACGCATGCTAAGGTTAGGGAGAGATTTTATTGGGTCCATTGTCGAAAAGATGTACGACCTGTGCGGGAGTCAAGGGACCGCGGACTAGAGCGAGAGGGCCGATGCAACAATATAACGTCGGTTCACCTTTCAAAAGAATTGCAGTCGACATAGCAAGTCCTTTCCGAGAAGCCACGACGGTTGCAACAACGCTGATTGACGACTGGATCAGCAGGTTTGGGGTTCCAGTGGAACTCCATTCGGACCAAGGCAGAAACTTCGAGTCAAACCTATTCCAAAGGGTTACTGAAGTACTAGGGATACGGAAGACACGGACTACTCCGTTGCACCCGCAGTCGGATGGAATGGTAGAACGGTTCAATCGTACCATGAAAGAACATCAGAAAGATTGGGATCGACATCTTTCACTGTTCCTACTGGCTTATCGATCAGCTGTCCATGACACGACAGCTCAGACACCGGCGCAGATAGTTTTCGGAAGAGAACTTCGTCTGCCTTGTGACATCTTGTTCGGCTCTCCGAGTGAAGAACCAAAGGAGCCCATGGATTACGTCGAGGGCTTGAAGGAGTAGCTGCTGAGCGTTCACGAAAGGGTGCGCCACAAGATCCGGGTGGCGAGTGACATAATGAAAACACGGTACTACCTTAAGGGTAACTCAGCCGGATTCCAGGAAGGGGATTTAGTATGGCTTTATAATCCCCGAAGAAGGAAAGGTCGTTGCCCGAAATTATCACCAGACTTCTAGTATGTACGCGTTGTTTCTCGTATGTATGTATCTCATCGGTCGCGCGAACACAAGCGGAAGTCGCGATGAGCCCAGAAGAAGTCTCGAAGCGACGCTCGAAAAGCCTGGAAGCGGAAGTCGCGAATACCCATTTCGAGAAAGAGCTGGATCGTCGAAATATGGATTAAATAGCAGCCACCGTCGGGAATGATTCATTCATAATTCAGTCAAGAGTCGAAAGAGCGAATGCGTTTAAGTTGCGAAGTTATCGCTGTTATAGTTTGTAACGGTCCTGTTACTATAATTTAAACTTCCTTTAGTAAGGACGAGTAGGTGATTTGAGCGTTTCAAATTGTCCGCCTCGGCATGGGAGTTTTTATAGCGATACAACGTCGGGCGAACAAAAAAGGGGTTTTGCTGATAAGATTTTGGACAAAATGGTGGTTGTCAGAAACGTAAAATAAAAATCAAGATTTCAAGCCATTTTAAACAACTAAAGAAGATTTTAATAAACCTATGAGACCTAGGTTAGTCAAAATTTCATATTTAAATAAAAGTCACATGAGATCTCTTAAAATAAACGTGTCAATAAAACACCACTTCCTAGGTTGTAACTATCGAGTTTGGAACATGAAATATTCGTCAATTTTGATCACTGGAGTCATTCGCTACTTGGATTGAGCTTGTAATTGGTATCATCTTCAACTCCGTGGAAAGTTGTGCTGGGAGTAACAATTCGGTACTACCTACAACCAGAGACCTGTCATTGAAACATTAGTAGTACTGGAGACTTATCTGAATGGAACCGATTGATGACACCCAGGGAACCATCACCACGGGGTAGCACCTTATCTGAGGAAGTAGCCGACCACCAGCGCAAGTAGCAGGGTTCCAGTAACTCAATATCTTAAAACTGGAGGCCACAACCCCATGGTGAACACCTTCTAGGTTGCTTGTTGCCCGCACAATATCATAAGGAAAATTCCTTGTAAACATAGGTATTTTTAGGTTAGAAACAGGTTAGATCCGAGAGAGTTAATAATTTAGATCTTGTTATTAACGTATTGTAAAGGGGCTAACCCTATGTCTAGTGATATTATGAGTGGTTCTTTGGGGGTCTAGCGGCCAGTCTCACCTATTTGGGGAGAGTTTTTGTTGTCTTGCGGCAGCTCTAGGTGGTACTTGTCATTACGCTCAAGTACACGAATGCTCACTTTCCGCGAAGGGAAAAAAAAGAAAGTTCCAAGCTCCATAATAGATATTTCTTTGAATTTCAATGTTATAGCAATAAAAGTATATCAGTCAAAGATCAGTATAATAAATCTTATCAGTATAGCTTCTGGTGGTCGAGTAATTGTAATTGTAAGCTCATTTTGTCTAGATATCAATCTTACCTTGTCTAAGTTTATAGTGTTGTAAAGACTAGTGTGCTGAGCCACAAATAATTTCAAAGTGTATGAAAAGAAAAGAAAAGCTCAAAACACCTATTCAATGTTTGTTTTTGTCGTTTTTCAAAAATAGAAAAAAAAAACGACTGGCGCCCTTTATGTATTGTGTGTTGCATATGCATATCATTATGTTAATATAGTTTTTGGGAAATTATTTCACTCATTGCCTACACAAACCCACGCCCTGCAAACAAACAAAGAACATTTAAGGCCGGAAAAGTCACAAGTTCGTAGTGTAATTCGAGTTAAAGAAATAAATTGTTGAGTTTTTACCTACGCCCGATTAATAATTCGCCCGTCAAACGTAACAATATATTAATCAGAATACTTTTAATATACAGGGTGTTCTTGAAATAGATGGAAACAAAAAATCTGGTGAATGTAGGGAGCCTAAGAAGTCAAATGAACGTTTGTTGTTTTAGTAAAATTTTGAAAGGAAAATTTAACCCCTATCCAAACATTCATTCCTCCACCCTCCACTGATAAAAAATGTGAAACCTAGTAACCGAAAACTGCCGAGGTGTAACTACTGTTGCTATTAATTTATTGCTAACAACAAATAAACACTGACAATAATTAATGAACTGACAATTAAAACTTCAAAATCATAATTTAATCAACCATAAAATGAAACAAAACGTAACGTATGCAACTAGAGCAAGTTTTCAAAATGTCCACCACCATTTCGTATACACGCTTCCGCACGTCTAATCAATGATTGTTGGGTTCTGGTTATCATTTCGGGATGTGCTCTAATTTCAGCAGCTGCATTTGTTATTCTGTTGAGGGTCCTCTCTATTTTTTTGGCATAGCCATTCACAAAAGCGAACTCTACGTGGCAGATCTTCTGGTTTCAAGTGCTGAACTCGTTGTACATGATAGGGGTGTAGGCCTTGTTCATGTAGAGTTCTCCACACCACAAAAGGTGAAACTCCCACTCGGTAAGACAATCGTCTAATGCTTATACCTGGATCGTTTTCAACGACATTCAAAATTTCTTCTTCGGCATCAAGTGTCCGTTCTGTCCTTTCACGACCACGATCACTAAAACGAGGTTAAAATTTCCCATTTTCTCGTAGACGCTGAACAACGTTAGCAAATGTTTTATGATTTGGCAATCTTCGTTCGGGAAATGCTTCTTGGTATAAACGTCGAGCTTCCAAGGAGTTTCCTAAGGCTTGTACATACATCAGAACCATGTCAGTCATTTCAGAATTAGAAAAAATAATTTTGTTCTTCCAAAAAATTGCAAAAACGTCAAAAAATGATGGGCTAATGAATGTATTGTCATGTTAACAAGCAACAATTTTACCTACTTTAAATTACTATAGTGATCAAATTTACCTTTAACATTTTTGGAATCAGTAGCGCACACGCAAATTTTAACAGATTTTCAATCAATTTTATCTCAAAAACTAAAGGATTTTTATTAGATCAATATTTGATGCATAAATTCTCTACATCATGACCAATTACCTTAAAAAAAGTTTCCATCTATTTCAAAAATACCCTGTATATTACAATGGTTAAAAGTCGATTTCAGATTGCCATTTAGTCACATAATTAAACCTTTGATACCATAAAAATAAACATAACAACTTCCTTCCTCAACTAATCAATATTCAGCTTTTTGAAATTGCCGTGGAACCCCAGCATTTCGTCATTTTCCAATTTCGCCGGTCGGAGATTTTCATCAACCTTGAATTTTCCAAGATAATTATAATCGAACAAATTAAGATATTGCTCAAATTCGAGATCCGCTATTTCTAAATTGAAAGAAAAGTTAAATTTACGCACGTACAGGAACTTTTATTGTACCTTGTAGTTTCTCAAGCGATATTCCTTTTCCACCAAAATCCACTGGTAAAAAATCTTCAGGAAACTTTTCATTGATTAGACTCCCTTCCGAGAGGAAATGTATCTAAAAATTACACAAAGTTTGCATTTCGTGAATTCTTTTAACTTACTCTTTCAAAAATTTTTCTCTTTATGACCGTCTTTACAATTTTTACTAGTGTTTCCCCAAATGAAGGAAAGTTGATTACGTAGACAGCTTTCATTCGAATGGAATAAATTTGCTACAATTGAAAATTTATTACTAGATACACAACGTTTAACTTGATACCTGATAAATCATAAATACAAATTTGTATAGAAACGTCGGTGTTAACTTTAAAAAGAAGGATGAAGGTAGATGTTTACAGTCGACAACGAATATATCACCATTCATGACATCATGTCTCAATCTTATTTCTTGACAAGCCACAAGATAACGTGCCATCACGTAATTGTCTAACTGTTCCGTTAAATCTGGATTGCGAATCTTAAAGAAGTATACTCTGTTGTAATCGAGTAATTGCGGATGTGCAAGAAAGTAACTGAAATAAATAACGATGTGAATAAAGTAGTTTTTGCTGGTATCAATCACGTCTACGCTATCTGAGTAAATTCTTGCACGAATGATGAAAATTTAGGAGTGATTTCCTTGTAAATCTCTTCCAACTTGGTCCTGGTTGTGTAATAGTTGTCAATTTTCTGTTTCGTTTTTTCGATACTAAATTTATTAAGAATTAGAAAGTTCGTAATACTTCTTCGTTCTAAAATTTTTAGCTATGAAATGTGGAATGTCAAGTTCGAAGTTACCTAAAGGTTGCAAAAAGTGCGGCTGTTCATTTATCCACTTCTGAATGGTTCTGATATCATCCTCTGTACTTTCTTTGTCTTTATCAAAGGTTTTTACTACATTTTCTACTACCATTTCTTCTACTTTAAGCATTTTGGATATGAAACTTTTGACTAAGTTTTGGTGGACGTACACGTCGATTGTCATTAGAATACTCACCCATATCTGTGCATTGACTACCAAATTTAATCTATTTTTTTTATGGTATATAGTTATACGAACGTATATCACTTATACAGAACATTAAAACAAATCAACCCAAAAATTAAAAATTCCACTCACCAACCAACTCACCATGTCACATGTTTTTAAACCTTGAACTAGAATAAAAAGTACCACGAAGAATGAAGAATCATCGTTTTCAACGACAAATCATATAACCTTAGAGAATTTGGAAGACTATATGTATATATGTTTAGTGACGGCTTTGTCTTTACATAAAGAAATAAAAATCCAAAATCTAATTACTTAAATAATAATTTATATAGTACGTAATTTACACTTAACATAAAGGGGTGATGTCCGAGCTTTGGCCCACTCTTTACAGGGTAATTTTAATATTTATTATATGCATGGTTAATCGTGAATTTGACATTGGTATTTAATCACATAGTTAACCCCAATACCGCGAAAATTTACAAATACATATGTTGTAGAAGTTTATCACTAATTAAACTGAACACTAACAATAACAAAATTAACATAACTAAAAACCCATTTTCTCGACTAATCCACATTCAGTTTTTTGAAATTTCCATAGAACCCCAGCATTTCGTCATTTTCCAATTTCGCTGGTCGACGACTTTCATCAACCTTAAATTTTTCCAGATGCTCGAAGAAACTAACATGTTGTTCATATTCAGAAACCATCATTTCTAAATTTTGAAAAATTAATTAACGCACGTAGAGTGACGTCTATACCTTGTAGTGTCTCAAGCGATATCCCCTTTCCACCAAACTCCACCGGCAAAAAATCTTCAGGAAACCTTTCTTTGATTATAGTATCTTCTGAGAAGAAATGCATCTAAAAAAACAAAGTGTGTGTCTTTTTGTGAATTTTTCAAACTCACTCTTTCAAAAATTTTAGGTTTTGAGACCATTTTCAAAATTGTTATTAGTGTTTCCCCAAATGAAGGAAAGTTAATGATGTAGATCGTTTTTATTCGAAAGGAATAAATTTGCTACAATTTAATACTTATTGTTAGAGACACAACGTTTTACTTGATACCTGAAAGATCATGATCAGACATTTATACAGGAACGTCGGTGTTAACTTTAAAAAGAACGATGCAGGTAGATGTTTACAGTCATAAATGAATATATCTCCGTACATGATATCTTCTCTGATTCTCATTTCTTGGCAATAGAGCGTAAGTATCTAACTTTTCGACTAAATTTGGGTTACGGATCTTAAAGAAAAATACTCTGTTGTAATCCAGTAATTGCGGATGGGCAGTGTAATAACTGAAAATAACAACCTGAATAAAATATGTTTTGTTGATATTGATCACGTACGCTATCTGATTAACTTCTTTCACGTAGGATGAAAATCTAGGATTCATTTCCTTGTAAACTTCTTCCAGCTTGGTCCTGATTGTATAATAATTGTCAATTTTTTGTTTAGTTTTCTCGATACTAAATTTATTAAGAACTAGAAAGTTCGTAATACTTCTTCGTTCTAAAACTTTTACCAAAGAGAAATGGGACGTCAAGTTTGAACTTACCTAAAGGTTGCAAAAAGTGCGGCTGCTCACTTATCCATTTCTGAATGGTTCTAATAACGTCCTCTGTACTTTCTTTGTCCTTATCAAAAGTTTTTACTACATTTTATATTATCGTTTCTTCTACTTTAAACATGTTCGACACGAATTTGTTGACTGCAGGGAAACTTGCACGTCGAGTGTTAGTAGAATTTGCATGCAATTGAATAACAAATGTAAACTGTTTTCGCATTGCATTTTCATGAGCTGATAATAAAAGCTGACAATGAAACACAAATTTCGTTTACTTAACGGCAAAAATTAACAAGAATCTCCACTAAACAAACGATTCACAATCTACAAATTTAAAGGCGGCAGACTCAATTTCTATTCAATTATTTCAAGAGTATTTTTTTTATAGAAATTATATTTATTATATTAGAGTTATATATATTGTTGTAGTATGTACGGCGATGATGACTCATCGTCAATGACGGCGGTCGGACGTCGTTCGCCAAAGAAAAGCCTGGAAACGGAAGTCGCGATGGGTAATCCAGAGGAACTTCTAGAATGGAAGCACGGCTTTAAATCGAGGCCACCTTGGGGATTATGATCATTCGGCCAAGTCATTCAGTCGAGTCGAGTCCGACGAGTGTCGAGAAAATCCAGTCAAGTTTCGCCGGAAATTTTTGTACATATGTAATCGCTCTGTAATTAGTCGTGTAAATCCGAGTTACTAAGAAATAAATTGTTGAGTTTAACCCACGCCGATTTTAAAAACCCGTCCATCGTAACAGTAAGTATATTTAAGGGTTTCCTTTGTAATAAATCCGTTTTACTAATCCGTGATTTCAGTTTGCTAACTTTAATAATGGCTATGCTTGTTCCAAAGTTGGCTCCTCTGTATAGTCTATGCAACCTGTTCCAAATAATACAACATATATGTTCGTATTATTTAATTTTCATTTTTTTTATTTTTCAGTTTTCCGATTTTCCAACTTTTAGATTTTGCCATTTTTCGATTTGCAATTTCATGAGTTTTCAATTTTTCATTTCGGTTTTTTTTTACTTTTTCCAATTTCGGTTTTACAAAGTTCTGATTTTATAATTTTTTGAATTTTTAATTTTTCAATTTTTCAACTTTTCGACTCAAATTGTAAAAATGGCCACATTGTGAAATTAAAAAATTCGTCGATATACAGTTGTTTTGCCAAAATGAATAATATTACGAGTAATCACTGAAATGAAGGAGGGGTGGGTGGACGAGGCTATTGCTTGCTTACAAAAGATTCTGTATAAAAAAGACAAACTTAGCCCTGCCCACCCACCCGTTCTCTCATTTTTTTTTTTTTCAAAAAAGAGAAATAAATGTTATAACTAATAAGTACGATAACAAAAAAATAACGATTAACGCTTATTTAATAGTCTCACTTTACAAAAGAACATATAATTCACCCTACCCACCCACCCCGCCTACATTTCAGTCATTGATTTTATCTAGTCCGAATCTAAGGTGGATCTCAACTGAAGAGAGATAAAATCGTTATAACGAGAATAGCATATTTGGGTGGGGATATATATATATATATATATATATATAATTCAGCTCTGCAGGCCTTAAAGGCCCTGGGTTTTTTTAACAATAATTTTCCATTTGTTCCTGTCGACTGCTTTGGATCTCCAATCTTCAATGCCTAAGTTTTGAAGATCTTTTCGAACATCGTCTATCCACTTCAGTTTTGGCCTTCCTCTCTTTTTCTTTCCTCCTTTTAGGCGGTCTAATACTGTCCCAATTGTCCTTTCTTCTGGTGCTCTTCCGACGTGGCCTAGCCATCTTAGTCTCTGTGCTCTGATTATCTTCGTGATTGTTGGTTCTCCGTATATTTCCTCGATCTCTCGGTTTGTTCTTCTTCTCCATTGGTCTAGTTCTTTTATACCTCCATATATCTTTCGTAGTATCTTGCGTTCCCATACTTCCAACTTCTGTTCCTTTTCGTTCGTTAGCGTCCATGTTTCACTAGCGTACAGGACTGTAGGTCTTACTATTGTCTTATATACTTGTTTCTTTGTTCGTCGTGTTACATTCTTACTCCTCAGAAATCTGTTTAATCTTCCTACACTCTTGTTTGCTTTCGCGATCCGTTTTTCTATCTCTTCGTTCATTTCGTTTTTGTTTGTAATTACTACTCCTAGATATTTGAACCTATTACTTCTTCGAATTCGTATGTTGTTCCTTCTTCTGTAGTTACTTTCAGTGGTTTTGCTGGGGTTTGTTTTGTTTCCATCTTCATAAACTTCGTTTTCTCTTGGTTGATCTCTAAACCCATTCGTTTCGCTTCTCTGATTAGATTTTTTGTCATTTTCTTCATTTCTGCTTCTGTTCTCGTTATACATGTCACGTCATCTGCAAAGGCTACATTTTGGTGTCTTTTTTCTTATATCGTGCTCGTTCTGTGGATGCCACTTCTCCTTATTATTGTTTCGAGTACTAGATTGAACAGGGTAGTTGATATTGGATCTCCTTGCCGGAGTCCTGTTCTTACTTGGAATGGTTCTGACAACAGACCATTTATCCTGACTCTGTTTCTGGTGCTCTGCAGGGTCATCTTTGTCAGTTTTATTAGTATTCTTGAGACTCCCAGTTCTTGCATGGCCTCTAGCAGTTCTTTCCTGTTAACCGTGTCATAGGCTTTTTTTAAATCTATGAACAACAGATATAAGTTGATTCCCTGTTCGTAATGTACTTCTTGTAGTTGCTTCAATATAAATATCTGGCCTACAGTAGATCTATTTTTCCTAAACCCTGCTTGATATTCTCCTAATATTTTTTCCATATGCTGCTTTAGTCTTCGTTTGATGCAAGTGGCCATTACCTTATACGTTACGTCTAGCAGCGCTATTCCGCGATAATTTTCGCATTTCGTAATATCTTCTTTTTTAAATATCGGGCAAAGTACTGCTTCACTCCATTGTTCTGGCATTTTTCCTTCCTTCCAACATTCTAGCACTAGTCGATGTATCTCTGATGCTACTGCTTCTCCTCCGTACTTTAGCATCTTGCCCTTTATTACGTTTCTACCAGGACTTTTGTTGTTTTTCATCCGTCTTAGTGTTTCTCTGATCTCTCCTTCGTCAATTTCTATTGTTTCATCTGGGTCATCCGAGTCGTTCACTCTTTCGTTCGTATCTTCCTGTGTATCCTGTTCGTTTAGCAGCTCTTCAAAGTATTCTGCCCATCGTTTTATTCTTGCTTGTTCGTCTCCTATCAGGTTGCCGTCCTTGTCTTTACAATATATTACTCGTGGTTGATAGCCTCTTTTCTCTTTTTTCACGTCCTGGTAGAAGTTCCTTATTTCATTCCTGTTGAAATTTTCTTCTATTTGTCGTATTTGTTCTTCCATCTTTGCTCGTTTCTTATTTCTGCATATCTTCTTGTACTCTTTCGTTTTTTCTTGGTAATCTTTTTGGTTCTTCTCATTTTTTGATTTTAAATATTTCTGTCTGGCTGACCTCCCCGCTTCTATTGCTTTTCTACATTCCTCGTCAAACCATTCGTTTCTATTTTTGTTGTCTTTTTTGACGAACCCTAGTACTTCTTCCGAGGTCTTCCATATGTTCTCTTGTAGTTCTTCCCACCTCTCTTCTATAGGTATGTCTTGCTCTGTTGCTCTTATTCTCTCATTCATGTTTTGTTCGTATTCCTGTTGTACTTCTTTTTTCTTCGGTATTTCTTGTTTGAGGTCTGCTCTTACTAGAAAGTGGTCTGAATTCGCTTCTGCTCCCCTGTAGCTTCTTAATCTGGTTATTAGTTGGGCATCTCTCCTTTCTACCAGTATGTGGTCTATTTGGTTGACCGTTTTTCCGTCAGGCGACATCCATGTGCCTTTGTAGATCTGTTTCTGCGCAAAGAAGGTGCTTTTGACTACCATTTTATTTTCTTCTGCAAACTCTATCAGTTTTTCTCCATTTTGATTCGTTTTTTGGTGTTTGCTTTCTTTCCCGATTGTTGGCCTGTAGCAATTCTCTTTACCTATCATTGCGTTGGCGTCTCCTATAACCATTTTAATGTCATGCTTTGGTATTTTCACATATTCTCTTTCTAGTTCTTCGTAATATTCTGTTTTTACTTCTAGATCTTTCTCTTCAGTCGGTGCATGTATATTCAGTAGGCTTATTTTCCTGTACTTACTTCTCAATCTTATGTAGCTCATTCTTTCTGAGATTGGTTTGACGGTAATTACTGCTCCTTTCAGGCTCTTCTTCACCATGAATCCTGTTCCTAGTTCTCTGTTGTCAATTCCGCTATTAAATAATATGTAGTTGTCTATTTCAGTGATGAATTTGCCTTTTTGTTTCGTCTCTTGTATAGCTGCTACATCTATATTATACCTTTGAAATTCTTGAACTATCTGTTTGAGTTTTCCTTCGCTATATGTTCCTCGAACATTCCATGTTCCTATTCTAATTTTCGGGTTTTTCTTTCTCTTCGTAATTCCTATCGGGTCATCCATGAGCTTTGCATACGTCGTCATTGTTTTCCGGTGTGTGGTTTCTTCCTCTGTTAGTTTTTTGGATTTTCTTTGGGGTGCGACGGTGCTTTCACTAATTTGTCTAATTTAGTGTCCCAATGCCAGACTTCTCCTGCCCATATCATCTTTTTGTACCCTACTTTTGCCTCGACTCCTTTCCCTTTTTCTGCTGCTGCTATTCCTCTTATTTTCTTCTGTATCTCGCTCTCTTGTTTGGTGTAATCGTCTTCAATAAACGTTTTTGATCCTTTTAATTTGTTCTTCTGTTTCATGATTGCTCTTTTTGTGTCCCAGTTCTCTATCTTTGCTACTACTATGTCGTATTTTTCGCTGACTAATCTTGCGTCTTGTATCTTAGTTTGGATTCCTACCTTATTTTTTAGGAGTTCTTCAACCTCTGCTGTTATTTCGCTTCCTTGTAGTTTCCCTCCTTTGATTACGATGTTGTTTCTCCTTTCTGTTTTTCCAATTTTTCTAAGTGTTGCTCCACTCTTTCTAATCTTTGGGTCAGTCTTTGGTTTTCTTCTCTTAGTGTTGTTACTTCTGTTTGGTATGCTCTTTGGTCTCTTTTCATTTCTGCGATTTCCTTCATTAACGTTTTGAACATATTCTTTACTTCGTCCATGTCTCCTGCTTGTACCCTCTTCTGCTTCCTCTGTACTCTTTGACCTTCCGGTGATGGTGAAAAGGAGGTTTCTCTTTTTCGTTTCTGGTTGTCTTGTTCTTCTATTGCTAGTTTGTGTCCTTTTTCCGGTCCAGGATTCCCGTTTAGCATTCCCTGGCCGACTTTCTTGCTTCCTGTGTATCTAGTACGTTCCTGTGTTGTTTACTTCGTGCCGCGATAAGAACTGTCACCCAGACTATCTATTCGGAGGTTAGGTTCTTTTGATTCCACACTTTCCCGAATAATTGCTGCCCTTACACTTCTTGGTGCTTCTTACTCTTATTCCACTTCACTTCTTTGTTTTCTACTACTTCTCTTTCGCTTTTGACGCTCGATATCTCTCGATTTTCGAGTTTGGATTTCGGAGCGTGTTCTGCTTATCGTAGTCAGGACCGTACTCCATTTGGGTGGGGATAGTATCTGCTAAATTAAAATTAATTTTGGTAAATGACACCCTCTAAGAAAATAATGGGTGAGCGGGAGGAGTTAGTACTTGCTAAGGTAAGACTGATTGTGGCAAACGACATACCCTCTAAGAAGGCGGGTGGGCGGGCCTAGTACTTGTTAAGATAAGGTTGCTTTTGATTGATTTTTTCAAAAAATCTGAACGTTTCGAGTAAAAACTCAATAAAGCATCATAAACTAATTTAAAACCCATTTACTATGTATACTTTTCAATTGACGTCATCACATTATTGATGGGGTTGACTAGACAAATTTTGGTTAGAATTTTACCATCTCCGTGACATTACCAATATAAATAAAAAATTTTACAACAATCGGCCCAGTACTTTGGAGATTATCTGTTTAATAAAAACCGGAATGGACGGACAGACAGACAGACGGAAAGATCTATTTCTTGGTACACTAGGGGTTATGAAACGTCAAGAAAATGTAAAAATATAAAGTTGGTCGACAGGCTCGTTTAAAATGCTTCTGACTAATTTTTTTTTTTAAATATTATATTCAGAATCTTAAATCAATTTTGTACCAATTATTATTGTTAATGTTGATACTCACACTTCGCAGAATTAAAACAAAATGTGTTAATTAAACCGAATAGCGTCAATATGTATTATAATTGTTAAACGTCGATTTGGTATGAACGTCAAAGTCACATAGTGAACACCCAACACCGTGAAAATTTACAAATATACATATTGTAAAAGTTTATCGCTGATAAAAATGTGCATATTCATTTGCAAAATAAATACTTATAAAAACCCAGTGTCACAACTAATCGACATTCAATTTTTTGAAATTGCCATAGAACCCCAACATTTCATCATTTTCCAATTTCGCTGGTCGAAGATTTTCATCGACCTTAAATTTTTCCAGATCGTCGAAGAAACCAAGATGTTGTTGATATTCAGCAACCATCATTTCTAAATTGAGAAAAATTAAATTTACGCACGCACAGTGACGTTTATACCTTGTAATTTCTCAAGCGAAATTCTTTTTCCACCAAAATCCACCGGTAAAAGATCTTCAGGCAATTTTTCTTTGATCATAGTATCATCTGAGAGGAAATGCATCTAAAACACAAAATGTTTTGTGTTTTTGTGAATTTTTCAAACTCACTCTTTCAAAAATTTTTGGCCTTATGACCATCTTTATAATTTTTATCAGTGTTTGTCCAAATACAGGAAGGTTAATTACGTAGAGAGCATTCAATCGAAAGGAATAAATTTGCTACAATTTAACATTCATTGTTGAACACGTAACGTTTAACTTGATACCTGGTAAATTGTAATTAAACATTTATATACAAAAGTCGGTGTTAACTTTAAAAAGAAGGATGAAGGTAGATGTTCACAGTCAACAACGAATATTTCTCCATACATGACATCTTCTCTCATTCTTATTTCCTGACAAGCCATAACATAACGCAGCAAAACGTAATTGTCTAACTTTTCCGCTAAATCTGGATTGCGAATCTTAAAGAAAAATATTCTGTTGTAATCGATTAATTCCGGATGAGCAACAAAGTAACTGAAAATACCGACGTCAATAGAATATTTTTTGCAAATACCAATCACGTGTACACTATCTGACTAACTTCTTCCACGTAGGATGAAAATCTAGGATTCATTTCCTTGTAAACTTCTTCCAGCTTGGTCCTGATTGTATAATAATTGTCAATTTTTTCTTTAGTTCTCTCGATACTAAATTTATTAAGAACTAGAAAGTTCGTAATACTTCTTCGTTTTTTCGAAGGAGAAGTGGGCAGAGGCGAGAGAAGACGATTCGCCGCGCAAAGAGCCAGCAAAAACATTGAAAATGGAAGAAAGGGAACAAATAAAGCAAGGACAAGAACCGTTGATGGAAATGATGAAGCAACTAATAGAAGAAATGAAACAACTGAGAGAAGAATATAGAGGGGGTAAAAAAAGAATTACAGACAATAAATGGAATATTGGAAAGAGAAAGAGAAGAATGGAATGAAAAGGAGAGAAGCTTCGAAGAAAAAATCAATAATTTAGAGAAGAAGTTGGAAAAAAAAGAGATTCAAGAAAGAAGAAACAATTTCATATTTACGGGTATGGAAATAAGGGAAAAAACAGATGCAAAAGAAATAGAGGAATTTTTGAAAAAAGAAATTGAGGTAGAAGTAAAAGTATTGGAAACAATAATTATAAGGAAAGAGGAAAGCAAGAAAATACTGGCCAAGACGCTTTGGGAGGAAAAACAACAGGTGATGAAGAATAAAAATAAATTGAGAGGAAAGAGAATATATATTGATAATGATTGGACAGTACAAGAGCAAAAAATTCAAAAAGGAATTAGGGAGATAGCTAAAGAGGAAATAAAAAAAGGATACACAACAAGGGTGGGATATAAGGAGCTGGAAGTTGGGGACAAAATGTATACATGGAATGAAAATAAAGCAAAATTGGAAGACAAATTTTTCAAATCAAGTCAGCACTAACCGAAGAAAGGAACACAAAGAGGAGGAGTAGTAATGATGGGACAAATAAAGACTTTAGGTGTAAGAATGTAGATTTTGTACATAATAGGGGAATGGGAAAGAAGAATGGGGGAGATAAACGTGGTTTAAAATTGCTTTTTTGGAATATTGCGGGTTTGAAAAAGAAAGATAATTTATTTTGGGACTACGTGAAAAATTTTGATTTTGTGGGACTAACAGAAACATTGATACTAGAGAGAGACTGGAACAAACTGAAAGACGTGTTGCCAAAGGAATTTCAGTGGAAATTGCAAGGGGCAAAAAAAGAAAAACGCAAGGGTAGAGCAAAAGGTGGAATCATAACAGGAGTGAAGAAAGATATAAAAGAAATAGGAGAGGGGGCAATAGAAATGGAAGGCTTCGTTGAAAGAAAACTGATTGTAAATAAAACAAGATGGAGAATCTGCACAATATATAGTAGAGGAATGAGAAACACGAAACAAGAAATACAAGAAAAAATCGAAGAGTCCGAGGAAGAATTTCTACTGTTAGGAGAGGACTTTAATGCCAGAATAGGGAACAAAAGCAGGGAAGAAGACGGGGAAAACACACGAAAATCCAAAGATAAAGTAGAAAACAAAGACGGAAAATTGCTATGGGAATTAATTGAAGAAAGAGATTGGGAAGTCTTGAATGGGGTGAAGGAAGGGGACGAGGAGCGGGAATTTACCTGGATAGGTAAAAGAGGGAAAGCTACGTAATAGTAAACGGATTAGCAGAAGAAGAGGTAGAAACATTCAAGATAGGAGAAAGAGTGGACTCCGATCACATGCCACTAGAAGTAAAAGTGAGGGGCATAAGTAGAGGGAGCGGATGCTTAAGGAATGAAGTAGGAAAAGAGAAGAAGATATGGGTATGAAATGAAAAGGGAATTGAGCGTTATAAAAAATAAATGTTGGAAGTGGAATTTAAAGAAAAAGGAACTGAAAAGAAAATGTAAGAATTAAAAAGAGAAATTGAAAAAGCAGCCATAAGAAAAGAAATTGTAACGAGAAATTTAGAAAAGAGAAACAGATGGTGGGATAGCAGATGCAGAGATTTAAAAACAGAAGCATGGAAATGTTTACGTAGGTGGAAAAGGGGGAAAGGTATAAAAGAAGAGTACTGGCAAGCAAAAATAGTATATTATTAGCCAAGGTTGCAGAGCCAAGCATTCTAGACCGAGCGCAAATTAGAACCCGAGACGCGCAGCGTCGAGGGCTCTAAGTGCGAGGTCTAGAAGTGGCTTTGCAACCGTGGTTAATATACTATTTTTTTCACTAGTAGAAACCATAAGACAATAAACTGAAAAATAAACGTTAAATTTTTTGACGCAACGTGATTTTGTTTTGATTTCTAATCAAACTTGATCTAAATCTTCAACACAAAGAAAATCGTTTATACTTGTCGCTGAGTTAATCATTTTATCTTCTACCGTCTACCAACTACCATGCGTATACTCAAGTAATGTTTGTAGCACACATTTGTTCATTTTTTAAGAAATAATCACATCAAACATTGCGTACATAACCTCAATTTTTCTTTTTGAACCCGTGGTAGCAAAAGTTGAATTTGCTACCACTAAATGAGTTGACATTTGCATGCGTCCAGGCTGCTAGTGAAAAAATAATTATAGAAAACGATGCAAAGAAAAGAAAGAAGAGATACAGCAAGAAGAAGAAGAAAAAATTAAAGCCATAAGAATTGAGCAAGAGGCATGGCAGTACATAAATAAAGAACGGAAGAACAAAATCACGATTAGTGAAGACATACCTATAATACAGTGGAACTGTTGAATGGAAAGGAAGAGAGAATTGTAGTGCAAGAGAGTAAAACCGGGATTGGTGGTAGAGAAACGGACTCTGAGATTCGAGTAGAGGAAGTAGGAAAACAAGTAGGAAGACTGAAAAGAGGAAAAGCACCGGGGAGGGATGGGTTGGTAAACGAAGTGTGGATATTTGGGACGGATGGGATGATTGAAAGATTGAGCGAGTTAATGAATGATGTGTGGACGGATAAAGGTTGTCCCAAGGAATGAAGAGTAGGGCAAATATGCCCAATTGATAAAAAGGGTAGTAAAGAAAAAGTAGAGAATTATCGGGGAATAACTCTCCCAAATACGGCATATAAACTGTACGCAATGGTGTTAAATGAAAGGTTGGTGACAGAGATGAACGAAAAGAGTAATTACCGGAAAGTCAAGCGGGATTTAGAAGAGGTAGAGGGGCTATGGACAATGTATATATCCTGCATCATCTAATAGAAAAAGAGTTGCTAAAGGAAGGAGGTCGGGTATATGCACTATTTGTAAACCTAAAAGCCGCGTTTGATATGGTGGACAGAGAATGTTTGTGGGAATGCATGGAGAGAAGAGGACTGAGTGCAAAGTTAATTGTAGCAGCAAGAGAGATTGAGAGAGTGGGAGGAATAGAAAGTGAAATGTTTTGGACGATGAAAGGATGAAGACAGGGATGCCCATTAAGTCCCAGTCTGTTTGCTTGTTACATAAGCGATATCGAGGAAATGTTTAGAGGAGTACAAGCGGGAGGAATTGTGGTGGGGAGAGAAAAGGTATGGTGTTTGGCATTTGGAGATGATTTGGTAATATTGGCGAAGGATGAATGTGGAATGAATGAAATGAAAAAAAATCTGCAAAGATACTTTAAAAGATAGAAACTGGAGGTAAATGGAGAAAAAACAAAAATGATGATGTTTAGAAAAAAGGGGAGAAAAGGGGAGGAAAAAGTGTGGCGTTGGGAAGATCGAATCATAGACACAGTAAAGGAGTTTAAATATTTAGGATTTAAGTTTACAACAACAACTAACACGGTAAAAGCACACATAAGAGAAAGAAGGGTCAAAGCAATGCAGATAATGGGAATGGTGTGGAGTATAGGTGAGAGAATATTTGGACATGACGTAAGAAGAAATGAAAATGTTTGATAGTTTGGTTAGGAGTGTATTAATGTATGGAGTGGAGATATGGGGATGGAAGGAGTATGCAGCGATGGAAGCAGTACAAGAAAAATATTTGAGGTGGATGTTAGGGCTACGGAAAGAGACGCCAGGCTATATAGTAAGAGAAGAATGTAAACGAGAGAAATTAAGTGTATACACTGGGAAGAGAGCTGTAAAGTATGATGAAAGGTTGAAAGAAAGAGAGGAATGTAGGATATTCTATGAATGCTGGAAGGAAAAAAAAAAGGAAGCAGGGAAAGAACATCACAAGGGTAGACAAGGATATTATGAAAGACTAGGATACGCATGAATGGAAATATAGAGAAAGAGAGAAATGGGGGTGAGTATGAGAGAAGAGTTGTGTATGTGTGACAGAGACATAGATAAACAAGAGAGAAGAGCGACTGTAAGTAAATCTGGGTACAATGCAGACTATAGAAAGATAATAACAGAAACAATACCAAAGTACCTAGACAGAGAAACCGCGAAAGAAAAAAAATAATTGCGAGGTTTAGGTGTGGAAATGAAGAAAGGAATAATAAGTTTTGGGTAAGCGAAGGTGAGAGAATGTGTAGGATGTGTGGAGAAGGGCGGGAGACGATAGAGCACATGCTGCATGACTGTGAGGAGAGCAAAGAAAGAGAGGAGAGTGTGACAAGAGGTATTGAATGAAGACGGAAGAGGGGTGGAATGGATGAAAGAAGTGGAGAGGACAAGAGTAAGGCTAGGGCAAGGGGGGATGGGATAAAGGAAAAAAATGAGTTATTTGGCCATAAAATGTATTTATTTGGTTTTTGTTAATTAGGAAAAATTGTGGTGTCAAGAACTTTGAAGCCCGTAGGGTAACAAATAAACCCT